GGAATGATGTAAAGTATATCTGTCACTGTCAATAAAATAGCCGGCCTAGTGATTCATTTTATGCATTATGACATTATGAGATGACTTTGACAGATGCAATGTCAAAAAAGTTAGAATTTAGTTAAATGTACATTTAATTTCACTATATTTACCCAAATAAAATAAAAAATGGGGTTGTAATTGACGCATAATTTCCTTATTTTTTAATATAAGTTACTTTATGTTTAATATAATTGACTTATCTCTAAAGAATATTAACAGACATCATTTGTCGAGTGAAATTTAAAAAAGAAAATACGTTTTTTGTATATTTTTTATGTTTTTTCACACACTACAAATCAGACTACAATATTATATGCTACAAATTAAGTCTACTTATTAATTCATCATTAAGAAAGAAATTTATTTTATCTTTTAAATTAATTTGGCTAAGAAAGCAAACACTGTTAAAAACTAATATTTCCTAATATTAAATAGTCCTAAAATAAATGATCTCTTTCATATTAGTCCTACAATGTTGCACAACAAAATCCTTGCCAAAAATAGTGCCAACTATAGATAATCCTATACACTACACTAGAAATGTCCTCCACAAGGGTTTTCAAGCAAACCCTTTCCTGAAAAATCCTGGTAATGTTTCTGCCTGCAAATATGCCTCAAATATCCTTATGCCTATATACCTTTTTTGTATAACATTAGTTATTAATATATTAGTTACTCCTTCCATAAATTTTTTCAGTCAATGATAGTAGAACTTTGAAAACTGCTTTTTTATCTTCATCTGACCGGCAGGAGAGGACCATGTGGAAGTAATCACTTAACAGAGATTGTGCTTTTGCACTGGGATGATACATCAGCAGAATTGTAAGGGCCTGGAAAAATAAAAATTACAAAAGAATTATTCTCATGTAGCAATAGCAAGTTCAACACGAGAGATCTTTAAATTGAGCAAGCACACAATCCACCTTTACCTGATGGTAAGTGGATACTGTGGCTACCTGTATCTATCCAACATTAAGAGTATAGGCATAGTAACACATCAACATGTGTTATCATACATAAGGACTAAGATAGAATGCTTTGTTAGCTTGTTATCAGTAAAAGCGGGTGCCTGTTTCTCTAAACTCACCATAAAAAACACAGCAACATCAAGCAGCTATTTTATGCTGATATTCTCTAAGTGTGGTTCTTTCATGAGTTGACCTTATCATGCCACAACCATAATAAAGCTGCAATGGTCTACCACATTAAAAAAGTGAGTATTTCTCCATTTCTTTCTTACATTCTTACAACAGCCAATTAACAATTCACTACTAGATATAAGGCACTTACATAATCATTTATGCAACTTTTTTTATCAGTGTGTGGAAGTACACTGCTGGAAATAAGCCTCTCATGGTAGATATAATCTCATAGGAGGATTTGCCTTAATTGTCATGCTGGGCAGGCAGATTTCAGGCACACAGTCTCACACCCTGGACACTGGCAGTTGCCGATTTAGGCATTTTGCACATTGCATAAACAGTATTTCCATAACACCTCTTAACACCACTCACGGGACAAAATAGGGTAGTGGATGTACTTACATCCCCACATAGCGAGTATACAAATAAATTTGATTTTAATTTGAAGTAAAAAACAATATCCCGCACGCTTACATCCCAATCCTGAGTACAGGTTTCTTCTTAAAAAAAAGTGGTTAACCATTACTTAAAAGTAAAAAAATCTAAATCACACTTACTCTTATATAAATAGGCAGCTCATCCAACCTCTTTGGCTGATGTTCCCAGATTGGAGATTTCTTTAAGAGATAAAGAAGTTTGTCCCAATCGTGAGAGTAAATTGCACGGCTCAGTGCTAGATGAAATTTGTGTCTCCATTTCTTTTGCCTCAAATCATTTTCAGAAGTGCTACCTTCAAGCTGCAGTTGTAGAAGATTACGTTTGCACCTTCTGTCTGGTTCCGGATTAGAGTTTTCTAGTGATTTAATCACTTTTTTCTGCAAAGGTACTATCTTAAATTATACGAAAATTTTGCATACAGAAATTATCTTTTTTCTTTCTACATATTATTCAAATTATTTTTTTAATAATTAAAAAGTCTACAGTATATATGAAAAATGTTATATACTAAAATGTATAAGAAATGCCAAGTATATGCTGTTATTTTGAATTTAGTGAAAAGATATACAATGAAGATTTTTATTCAACTTTATTAATTAAATAATATTTATATATTGCAGCATTGTGGTATGGTAAGAAAATTCACTAACAATGATTATCCTGTGGGTGTCGTAACAGGCAACAGAGGGAAACTCAAATAGAAGATGGGCAACACACCAACATATACTTGACACTGTAGTTTTTTATTGACAGCTCTAATTATTAAAAAGCAGAATTAATAGTTGCCAACCAGCATGCTGAGCGTGGCAGGTATTAAGCTGAGGGTTAGGTATTCATCAGTTGACTTTTGATAAGCTATAATGAATGGATCAATCAATGAAAATGAGATTGATGAGTGAGAGATAACTTATTACTTGAATGAATGTTTTTGTAAGCCTATTTTAGGGTTCCATATTGACAAGGAATCATTATTTCATTTTGACCATTTCTCTCAATTTTTTAAAAGTGTATGGGCATGTCATATACAAGTGGTTCGGGACCGTGATTTGTGGCATTGATTGAATGAGGATTGGAGAATGATCAACAGTGGAAGAGAGAAGAGAAGAGAAGGGCTGTAATGTAAAGGTTTATCGTTAATATTTTTTATTTAATTATTCAAGACAACAAACAATTACATAATAATGCTTAAACCAAATAACATTTTATAAATAATATTAGTCATTATGTAACCAGCACCGTTATCTACAAAGTAATATTAAGTTGGTAACAGTAAATAATAAATGCACAATAAACAGAGTATAAGTGAAAATGGGAAAATAAAATAAAATTGACAGTACCCAGTAACATAAAAATGAAAATGAGACAAAAGGAAAAAAAATGCTAACAGTACAAATTTATCTTGTAAAATATTTTAAGATACTATTGAATATCTACCAACTTTCTTAGAACGTTCTTGCGAAATTGTAACTGTGATGAAGTGAATAGATCAATATTTGAAAAATGCATGTTATATACTTTCATAATACGTCTTAATGGGGCGCATTCACCTGCATTGGTTTTACATAGTTTAGGCGCAAACAATTTATGTATATACACGTCTAATGCGTTGAGAATGTCTAGGGACACGGATATATATTTTGTTAAGTAGTTCACTACAATCTAAATCATTTCGAATTATTTTGAATAATAGTATTAGATCAAAGTATATTCTCCTTGCTTTTAAAGTATGAATTGAAAACTTTTTTAATAAGTTGCGATACAATGATTTAGCGTGGTAACATTTATAATTTATAAAACAAAGAAACTTTGCTTGTAATGATTCTAGAAGTTCACCGTATTTATTATAATAGGGGTTCCATACTTGCGTTGCATGTTCAGTTTGTGATCTGATAAGTGATTTGAAAAGTAGTAAATAAGATGAGGAGTTTTGAAAAAAATTACACGTTCGTGCAACAATTCCGTACATTTGATACGCTTTATTTGTTACATGGCTGATGAGCCTTAAAGGTTAGAATTGTATCGTATTATTAATGATACTATTTCTAAGGGACTGTTAAGAAGGGAATATATGTAATTGTAGGTTTTTACGTTTTTGGTGAAAGAAATAGATTTACATTTAGGGATACTTAATTGCAATTTATTGATTAGACAGTAGTTAGATAACCGGTCAAGATCTTCTTGTAGCTTCTCACAATCATTAAGGGACTTTATACATATTTATTTAATGATTATTAATTATTTTAAATTTACATTTAGTGGTGAACATTCTGTTATAAATAAATTGTAACTTAATAACAAAATATATACTACTAAGGCCACATTGGGAGGGAACCTTTTTTGAAAAGATATAAAAAAAGGTTAGTTTGAAACCACCAAGCGATTTTTTACATTCAGTCTACTTGATGGAAAGAGCATACCATGGCCTCTATGGGCCTATAGATCTATACTCGATTAGAAATCTGAGGACTAAGATGTTGTTTCCATTAAAAATGGTATTGGTATCTAGATCTCTAGATTCACCGTTCAAATAAAGCAGCATTAAGCTGCAATTTCACAATGATTTCCTATGAGATAGAAACAGAAACAGAAACTACTTTTATTCAATGTAGATTATAACAATACTTATTGAAAGTCACTATTTTCATTTACCACTGGTTCACAGGGTACGATAAATATCTAAATAACGTAGAAATAGCTAAATAATGTTACTTAGATATGATCTCTCAATCTCAATTTAATCATTACCTAAAGAACGCAAAAAGCATATAGTAATTTAGTTTATTCTATTTATGCAATTGTAATAAGGAAAGGGCTATAAGAAAAAGAAAGTAAATAAATAAAATTATTTACTTACCATAGTACTCAAAGGTACAAAATGACATTTTTCGATTTCCTCTTTATTTAACATTATTTTCATTATTGATTATTAGTTCGGCAAAAATTTTAATTTAATACTCCTGCGGTTTTATCGTAAATACTTTTTAGTTTTTACATTTCACTATGTAGATAATTATTAATTACTATAAACAAAACGTGACAATTACACTGCGCCGGCTCCATGGAGGTTAGAGAACACATGGCCGGCTCTGACACTGACAGTTAGCGGCCAGTGTTGCCAACAGCGCTGGCCCTAATGTCGCCGATTCTCATGCATGAAGTAGCCTAATATCGCCGAATTTCAACTGTAGTAGCCTAAAGTAGCCCAAACACCAAAATATCAATATGAATAAAATAAAATATGGTTTTTATCAATTTATTTATCATATGTTCATAACACACTGATAAATAGGCATAAGCCTTTATGAACATATGAGAACACGTTAATGAAATTAAAGTTAACATTTTAAAAACTACATAACAAATAAACAAAAATTAGGATTATTCTGATTCGTCCTCTGCTAGCAATAATAAGGCATAACCAAGGCTTTCGCCGTCTTCAGTAGTAGTTGATGTGCTAGTACTAGCGCAAGATCCACCGGAGACATACATTTTTCTGCCAGCGTGCAAACTCACCATGTGATTGTTTGGTTGAAAGTTGTTACAACACAAACCTCTTACATTCATATGGGTAGGAATCATAAGAATTGCGATCAGCATGGGTAGTTGCATGCGATTCCTTAATTTTGTTTTGATTGTCCCCATTACGCTGAAAATTCTTTCAACGACGGCATTACTCAAAGGTAATGAAAGGCATCGTATCGAAAACACTGCTAGTTCTTTAAACATCAGGCTTCCACCAGCATTTTTCATTTTTAGCACTTGAATCCAAAAATTTACAATGTCATTAGGAGAAGCAGCTGTTCCGATTATCTCCTCAATGCGCATAGTGTTTAATACGCGCCATTGGTTCATAACAGCTTCTCGGTCAATATTGGGATCACCTAACTGCCAGGGAAAATCTTTAATGTTGGGTTTGCCGATTGAGAGACATACGCGGCTTGGCGCAAAAAGTTAAATTTTTTCCACCACCGACACATTAAGCGGTAACCTGTCAACTAATTCTCTTACTAAGCGTACAAGAAAAGCAGAACATCTTTGCTTCACTTCTTTGGCTTTGTCGGTAGAAACAGTCTTTTTTGCAAGTAAATCATTGAAATTTTCTCCAAAGTCAATTGAGTCTAGTGGAAGCAGTGAATTTTCAAATGGAGCTCCGGCTTTTTCTAAAGCTCGCCTAACAGCTGCAATATCTGCTTCATGGAGCATTGATACAGAGGCATTCTCAGACAGACTTTGACTTCTCAGAAATATTGGTTTGAAAACACGTATTACAATGGAAAGTAAAAGAATCCGTAGATGGCTATATATTTTTGTGAGATTTGCATCATTTGCTTGAAATATAATATTCACATTTGTTACTTCTTTTAATATCGGAGACAAAAACAACAAATATAATAAATTTGTGTCATCATTATACATGGCAGCAAGCTCCCTTGCTGTATAACATCTTTCTGATGATTTCACCACATTAAAGTGAGTTTTTAGCTCAAGCCACTGATTGATGTTTGTTTTAACAGCTGAATGAAACGCCAGCCATCTAGTTGCGGATAGCTGAGTTAGTTTGAAGGGTTTTTTACTATCATTAATGGTTTCAAATAAGGTCTGATATATTTTCATTCGCAGTGGACTGTGGGCAAACCAATTTCTGGTTTCCCCTAAGTAAATATTCCAGACAAGACGGTAATTCCGTGCACGCTTTAACTAAGGGAGTGACACACACATTTCAATAGCTGTAAATGGGGTATATCTGCTTGTAAGAGAGTGAAAAGGGGGAGTTATATTTGCCACAAAGGTTACTTGCTCCATCAGTTCCTATTGCAATTAGATTTTGAAGATTCAAACCCATTTTAGACATAAAACTCTTAAATGATGTATATAGGCCGCTAGCTGTTGCTTCAAATACTTCTTGAAAGCCTAAAAAATCAACAACTATTTTTTCTAGTTTTGAATTATAGTATCGGATGCAATATGCCATGTACTTTTCTGTTGTTACGTCAGTGGATTCATCCAGTATAATAGAGTAGCTCTGGTTACCAACTTCTTCTAAAAGTGCTTTGAGCATGGCTGGTTCTGGAACATTTTTTATAATGGCCGAACACTTTGATCTATGTAATTGAATGTTTTCAAGAGGACTCCCTGTCCCACAGATTTTTAACACATCTGTCAGATGATCAATGCTGCGTATGGAGCTGTGAGCGGCGACATAGGCAGATATTTGTATGTCTATTATTTTTTCTTTTGATGAACTGTTACTAATTGAGGAGTAGCCAAACGATGCAAGCTTGGGTTGCTTTTTAGAAAAACTTAATTCTTTGTCTTTATGTGTTTTAGTTTTCATGTGCTTTTCTAAATCCGTTTTGTGCGCACGGAGTGGTGTGATACATAATTTACAAAATGCCTCACCTTTACCACTATCCGTCAGTACAACAGGTGCTCGATTAAGCCAATCTGTAAAAGAAATTGAACTCAATAATACACTAGGCAGTAGGTATGCATATATTGTATGTACCAGATAGGTATGGTACTAGTGGTTGATAATCAGATCATATTTCTTGCTATTTGTGCAGTTTTAGTCTACCTAATACATCTTAAATAGTCTGGGTAAATATTAAAAAAATAATTGTGAAACTAAAAACCACGACTCCTAATTTAGTCTGGAACACAGGTCTGGAAGAAGTAAGACCTTGTAACAGATAATATACCTACCTACATCACACAAAACATTAATATAAAACGGTACTTTAGTTTTTACTTACTTTTAAATGCTGGCAGTTTTTCCCATTCATCACGATAATGCTTAATATATTTACCATGTTTACCCATTTTACAAAACAAGCACAGGAGAAGTTTTACAAAGCCAAAGTGACCAAGGAATAACCGGAATTTATCTGAACTATTTAGTCAGTACAACACAGATAATTGCGGTAGTCATTATTCATAATAGAATACATGTAAACCTATTGCATTCTAAATTTGGTTACATAATAGCTAAGACAAATTCAGGGTATTCCCCGAAAATAACCAATCACAAACAAATAGGGTGACCATCTTAATATCAAATTGTACCAACATTACACACACGCGCGGCCGTATGCCTGTTTACATACTAGGTAGTATAAAGAAAACTTGTCCCTAGAGTAGCCTAATTGGCGACCAGTCGCCTTTTAGATTTTTTCGTCGCCAATTCTCGTTCTGAGTAGCCTAAATGGCGAAAAATCGCCTACGTTGGCAACACTGTTAGCGACTGGCACTGTGACATTGACAGTGACATAAACTTGAATGTGCCAATTTTTTCCAATTTTTTATTTAAAGCATGGAGTATAGAGGTAAGGAGGACAATATCCCATAGGAGAATAGTTGTAAATGTGTCCTTCTGTAAGCAGTAAACAGTTCAAAAACTCTCCACAACAGCGCTCGAGTAACTACAGGGTATGATAAATCGCAGTAAAATACGCTGAGTGATTTTGAAAATAAAAATTTTGAAAGCAATAAAATAATTATGTAATAGAGTTACGGTGAAAGTCTGTGCAACAAAAAATTATAAAAAGTTCTTTAAAATTTAGACTGTGGCTACATTGGAGCCACCCTTATTTAACGCTTTCCTACGGACACTTTTTTATAGAGTCTGTACTCCTTACCTCTCACTCCATAATTTAAAGGATTCCGATTCCGATTCCGATAAATTTTAATCGGATGTTAAAAATCGCTAAAAAAGTAAAAGTTTTAATCGCTCGGCGAGTGCTCTCGGCAGATTTTCGTGGAGCCATTCAAACTATGGTTTTATTCTCTTTAGCTATAAGAGACGTTAAGGCGATCGAAAAAAACTACACATACAACAATAATCTCAGTTAGTCCTTTTAGGGTTCCGACCTCAAAACGAAACTTATATGATCTACTAGCTGACCCTGCCCGCTTCGCTAGGCATGGCAAAATAAAAGATGGCCTAAAAGAAGCCCCTAACCTACATTATCCCTGAGCAACATAAAGTCAGAAATAATTTATAATAATTATCATTTGGTAGGTACTTTGAAATTGCAACTAAATATGTATTATTCAATGCAGTTAGACAAGTTACTCTGGTTTTATTTTTATGTTACTCATGTTTAGGGTTCCATATAACTGATTCATTGTGATAATAATCAATAAACCTAAATATTTCCTCTAATGAGGACATTAGTCCATGTCGCCATGTTCGTAAAACAGTTTTTTGAAGCTGACACTACAGTCTACTCTGACGCGTAACTATAAAATGAATACTCGGCCAACGTGTGATCACTGTTTGCGGCTTGCGCCAAACTTCTTTGATTTGTACACTAAAAACCGACACTATTTGGTTTGTTGGCGAGTGTTGGCTGCAAACGCCAAATACACACAATAAAAAGTATGTATGTTTATAATTCGTTTCCAGTAAAAAGGGTCTCAGGCTCTCTACACTCATACGAAACACAACAGCATTTCGCTGCCAAGCCGCTTTATGGGTTTAAATACAAGTTCACTTTATTCAAGGTACAATCTTAACGAAACAGTACTTAGAAGCTTACATATTGTATAATTAAATTACAAAAAAATATTTACCTTATCAATCTTAATCTTGTTTATATTGTCAAATAATTTTTTAAGATGTATTTGTATCAGCTGCGGTTTTTTCGAATTACCAAGAATCTCTAAGAGGTCATCGTTAGAAATGAAGTAAAAACGAGGAAATATTTGTCTTTTAGTTTCAAGGTATTTTTCTAATGCTCGTAATATACCATCTAAATTGTCCACCATAGCGTTAAGTTTATTGTACAAATATGGAGCAGGTTTAAAAGTACACGCTTCTATCGCATTCTTTCCACCATACATACTGTCGAAATAAAAAGAAAATATACTTAATAATAGAATTGATTTCAAGTTAAAAAAAAAACCTACTTCATTAAAATGATTTTGAAATATACTTACGGAAAAGGCCAATTCTTTCCGAATACCAAGCTGACTAGTGCAGTAATCACTACTGATCGAAACTGTGGCTACTAATGGTGGACAATTATTTCAAACGCAAAAGATATATTTTACAGAAGTGCTACGTATACAGATCAAAGCACCGATCAGTAGCCTAGGGCATTACACTTGCGAAAGTATCAACTTTTCGTTCAATAACCCGTTTGCCCTGCATTATGAGTACGAGAAAATGAAAACATATACAGCTGCTACAGCTGGTGCATTCTTGGTTGGGCCAATGCCCAGCAGTAGACTCACAAGAGGATGATGAAGCAATCTATAGTTTTGATTCTTCATCGGCCCGTAAAAGCCCACAGCTGAACATGAGTCTCTTTCGTTAAAGGGAGGCCTTAATTGTTATGCTTGGCGAGTGGATTGACAATCGCATTACCAGACATCTCGCACCGTTGATGCTGTTAACCGTTGCCCACTGGGTATACGTCTGACGTAAATGATATGGTTATACCACTATCTATCGAAGGCAGAAGATTTTTTGGGCAATGAGCAACTGAGAAATCGCTTTTCACATCACCCACGGGACGAAATGTAAGGAATGTTATTTGAAGTTTAGATTCATTTTTTATAATAGTAATAAATTCATGTCATTGAATAAAAACAACAGTTTCTGGCTTTTTATATCATACAAAAAGTTAAAGTTACAGCCTATTCTCACCAATGGGCAAGCCTACTCTCATTTCTGAGAGGGTTTTAGGTAAGAAAGTATCTGTCATGCTGTCCCAAAAATTTTTATCTTATTTCTCTGACATTTAGGTTTCCTCACGATGTTTTCCTTCAGCGCCGAGTATGTGGTAAATCACTACTTAAAATTGCAATTAACAATTTCATTGGTGCCGTCGGGGATCGAACCCGGGTTACTCGCGTACTATGAAATTTACAGCGAGCACTAACTATCTGAGCTACTACGGCTCTTTTTATATCATATACCAATCGTAAATTATTTTATTTTATATATTTTATTACTAACTTCTTTGTTATTTCCGTCCAACCAGCTGTTAATTCATCAAAGATAACAACTTCGTTTGGCAATTGTTTTCTAATATCTTCACCGCTAAAAATATTTTCCAGGTACAGATAGCGTCGTTGTACTTGTAATGAAATCTAATAAAACAAATGCTTAAATTTAATTTCAGGTAGTTGACACTTTATTTAGTTTAAGAGTTAAGTGTTAACCTCTATACACTCTGCAACATATCCCAACGTCTTTTCCCAATGATCAACTTCTTTAATAAAAGGCTCAACGTACTTTGTTGATTTCATGGAAGATAGTTGTACTTGATGGTCTTCTAAAAACTAAAACAAAAAGAAATATCATTGCTTGAAGTATAAATAAATTTAATGCGGAGTGAAAATTTTTATGTTACTCATTGAGCTATTATGTACTACGTACTAGAGGCGACACTGCATTCAGCTACTCTGTTCCACTCAACTGCGGTGCATTACACCGCACTTTAATCAGTCACTCGCTAGGCGCTTATAGATTTGTCACGTGTTGTGTTGATATAAAAAAAATCGCTTGATAAAAATATGCCGTCGTATGTACTTAGATATTGCACAAATAATTCAAATGTCAGTAAAAACCAAGGAATTACTTTTCATCGGTTAATAAGATACTTAATCAATAAAAAGTATTATGTATTAATAATAAAACAAATTATTCCTAAAACACCATCTCGTGTCATGGAATATAGATTAAGAAATTAATATGTTCAGATGCGACATTTCTGTGGGTACTTAAGTATAGGACGAATATAGTATTATACACATTTTTTTGCAGAAACATATATAAGTTGTTATAAATTGGCAAAATTTTTCATGTTTAAATCTGCTTTTTATTCTTTTATTTTATTTTTAGGTTTCCACATCAAAGTCAAAGTGGTATAATTTCGTCCATTTTTGACTCTCGCGTGCCCAGCATTTATGAACGACTTTTATTCTAATTTAAATAAATATATTTGTAATTTAAATGTTATGTTAATAAGTTTTATTAAACATAAATTTAGTATGTTTTTTTATATTTGACTTAGATAGAAACAGAAACAGAAACTTTTTTTATTCAATGTAGATTATAAACAATACTTATTGAAAGTCAATTTTTTCATTTACCACTGGTTCGCAAAAAAAACCTCTGTCTTGAGAAGAACCAGCAAGAAACCCAGCGGGACTATTTTTTTTTCAAATAATAGCTTACAACCATGTTTACAATTAAGAACACAAGACAAATTAGAAATAGCTTGGTAGCGATCACCCTTAATACCTTTTAAAATATTCAGATAAAAATATCATTAAAATGTAATTGTGATATAATATTATATTAAATAAGCAAATATAACATACAAAATAAATGACAAAATTTAAATATTGTTCTCGATATAATTTACCATTTAAAAATACAATACTATTCCACAATACTATTACCTACTGATCATTCTACCTATGTTTATTCTATGATAAAAAAACAACCACGCAAACACTGAGTAGCGCACATTTTTTGTTTGAGATATCTATTCTAGTACGTAAGTACATATTACTTCAATGATGTTACTAAACAAATCGTGTTCTAATATTTAACCACGTTATAGCAATGACTGTCCCATTGGTCTTTCAAAAAACAACTCTATGAACAATAAAATAGCATAATGATATCGGAGTATATACAATTAAAATAACTATAATAACAAAACTAAAAACTTGAATTTAGTCTCATAGTGCTATTCCCCGCGGTATCGTGCCAACAACGCTGGCAAGTGCAAATACTGATCTTGAGATCCTGGATTCAAATTCCGGGTTAAGTCAAATAAAATGATTATGTTTATCTCTCCTGAAAATCTCAGTAGCACCCCGGGGTCAGGTAAGCGGTGTTTTACCCTCTTAGAAAGCACGTAAAGTTGTTGGTCCTGCTCTTGATCCCTCTTCGTTCGTATTAGATAAAAAGTTCCGCTGGGTTTCTTGCTGGTTCTTCCCAGGAGAGAGGTTTTTTCCGATACAGTGGTAAAAGTATAAAACGACTCTCAATAAAATATTGAGTTACATATAATCTATATTCAATAAAAGTTATTCTATTCTGTTCTGTTCTATTCTATTGAATTACTGTCCCATTAGTTATTGGCAAGAAGCTACTGCAAATCTTAATCTTCAATTTCCCCATTGCCTATTACGACACACGGCACGATATAGCGTATTAGATTGTCTTACCCCACAACTACACAATGTTTTTATTTAAACGGTTAATATTTTAATCCAGTAATTTAATAATACAGATCAAACTTACCTGCGTCACCTCATCAACATTTTTAATCCTATAAATATCACCACGGTGATGTTGCATTTCATATGTTGTATTTTTCCACACTTCACGAATTGCCTTAAGACCATTTTCAATATTTAATTCCATAGTAGCAGCTTTAGAAATTTCTGCTATATCTTCAGCATAGGCTTGGAAATTTAAGCGCATAATCAATTCTAACTTAAAATCTTCTGAGGATTGATCAAACTCACTGTAAGTTTAATAAATAATGGTTTTATTTGTTCAAGATGTTATTTGTAAACGTTTATTTTTCATTTAAAAAGGAATTAAGGAGAATGAAGTAGTGGACACGGTAATTGAAATAAAAGATAACATTTTATGTTATAAATTTTAATCTGAAGAAAAAAGTCATCTGATCATTAAGAAATTGCATAAAATTGAATTAAAACCAAATAATCCAATATATTTTTAACTTACACGCCCATAAGTGTCTTTATTCTGTCCCAGTGTCTTTCTCTCATACAAGGGTTTTTTAAATCACCTATTAAGGGTAGTGTTCTTCTAAATGCGTCAACTTTAACTCGAGTAGTTTCTATAATCTCCCATCCTTTATCTTTTAGTTGACGTGAGAGGCGATTAAAATTTCTATAATATTTAAATAAAAAACAAATTTGTTCTTAATTACATATCTCAAATTGAAAGTAATATTAAGCAATAATTTTATTACCTGAATAAGAACATAACGTTTTCTTCCATCTCTTCAGTTTCCATCTCCCAAAAAGTTTGTGTTCTATATTTGTCCCATGACTCCTCCCATTGAAAGACCAAGCCCCAAACTTCTTCCAATTTCTCCAACTCTTTCTCCATTTTTTGGAGGTCCAGATTCACTGGTGTCCTTTATAAATAAAAAGTATTAAAACCCTTTCTAATTTATGGTATATTATATTATAAACTACCTAAACTAATTTTACTAAATTACGTTAAATTAAATACTGCGAGGCCATCTCTTATCTGTTGTTCCTGGGCTCTAAGTGCATTTAATTGCTCTCTAAAAGCTTTCAATTGTGCCAGAGCATCTTTGCCACTAATATCCGAAGTGCAAGGTGCAGTTTTATAAAATTCTTCACAGAATTCTTTAGCAGTTTCTTTAAATTCCTGATTTGAAATAATTAGGCGGAGTTAGAGATTTTTATAAAGGCAATATTATGTTATGGAAGAGAAAAAATAGGAGATCTCACCTCAGCTTGTTCCAATAATTCATTTTTAAATTTGTCCTTATTTAATTCTAAAGCTTTTTTCGCATCTTCCAATACATTCAAATATTCATTCCATATTACAGGAATATTTTCATGACGAGTTACCATATCTGAACTTAATTCTACTTCAAACTTAGCTGAAATTTTAATTTTTAAATCCAGATTGTGTAATAATATAAAATGAACTTGCTTTTTACTAATGATGATGATGGTATCTAATATTATACGTAGTAAGCTGTACCGGACATAATATTAAAGAGTCATGATTGTGTATGCGCAAACACAGACCTAATCATTCATCTGAATCTACTCATCAAATCGCATTTAACAAATTGGAAATAGAATAATAAATATAGAAAAATAGCTTGCTGTATCAGATACAGGAGGATTGTACAAAACATATCCAGACTGGCAAATAAATACTGCGATTTTTACAGAAACTTTGATTCCACCTTGAGGGTCTTAACTTAGGGCACCCCTCCGTTACTCTTGCTACCTGCGTGATATAATTACGTACAATCGCGAGCCACCCAGGGTAACATACACAGATGGGGTTGACGCGTTGTAGGCGATTGTATGTTAATGTTTTTAACGCTGTTTACGTAAATAGTTTTTTGTAAATACTTGTTGAAATACTTTTTGTTTAGTGTTTAGTATATTTAATTATAGGATAAAACAGTTGAAAGGGTTTAAAGTAATTTAAAATTTATATTTATTAAGTATATTACCTACTTGATTAATTGTAACGGCAAAAAGTCGTTCTTACTATAACTTTTGCGTAGATAGATGCTAAATGACCAACAAAAGACATACCATTCTTTAAGTTACCGAAAGATTTAGTGGGAATTTATGAAAGGTGAATTTATTACATTTTTAGGCACTTATAGCAAAAAATAATTAAGTAATAATTACTCACAGAAGTAATACCTCAGCACTTTATTACAAAACTTAGTTGAAATTTTCTTCACTCTCCAAGTATCTATTTACATACCTATACTTGTCTTTTGTTATTAAAATATTCTAATTTATAATAACACAAAATACTGAAATTAAAACTTTGTCTACTAACAAGATTTTTAACTTAGTAGAATACGAATGTTAGGACTTAGGAGTCATATTTGAAGTTTGTATTAATGTTTTTTTCCGAGCCAAGCATCGCAATGCCCGACGAATGGCCTTGCAAGTTGCATGCTTTGGGCATTGCAGAAATCAGATAGGTGCGAAAATATGGTCAGTCGATCATAGTCAGAATAGGTACTTCACCTAAGTAACTTAATTAACATTCCGCAATGTATTTTTTCACTTTTTATTTATATCCCTTAGTAGCCACGCAAAGTCCGCCATTAATTTTGGAAGGGGAAAAGATGCGAAGTAATATGGATGACACTCGCACGCAGCGATAAAATTTTATTTAGCTTGCGTGCGCGATTTATCTAATTAATAATAATTATGTAGGCGAATAAACGCCGGCACGCAGTCAACACCAAAAACGTGCAACTTCTGTACGTAGTACTATTATTTATTGTGCTAAGTGTCAAAGTCATATTAAGGAAATATTGGTCACTGAAGAAGTGGTCAATTTTAAACACTAATTATTATCGAATCTAAAATTTACCTAATGTTGTCATTTGATCGGTTATAGGTGGAAACTTTTGTTCTATTTGCGAAATTTCAGAAACTAGCCGTTCATAAGTTGCTATAGCTGTTGCTAGTTCTTTTAGATCCGTTGGCATCTAAAATTTTAGTTAGTTTTTATTAGTATTAGTTAAGAAATTTCTATTCCATTCAAAAATAAATGTTTATTTCACTATGCTACATTCACGAACCGTCATAGCTTCTTCGCTACTCTTTTCGACATATGCATATATCCCATCTATATCAGTTTCAGTAATTTTTCGTAACAGTTGACCTAGTTGAATTTGCCACATTAAGCAATGTCCAATGATAGACTTCTTCAATTCGCTAGAGTTTAAAGTTATAAAATGAATCTGAAAAAGAAGTTTTTTTTTAATATATGCATTTTAAAATAGCAATACATGTTACTTATGTCTTTATAGAATAACGTTGCCTAACCTGATTAATGGTATCCTGTACTTGCACGGCATTCGCTAAATCGCTATACGCAATTATTAAATTATCAAATTCTACTGCTTTATGCTTTTCCTCCTGATATTTTCTTAAAAACGCCTCTTTATTGACTTCCCATATATGAGCATATGGATTCCACATGCTTATATGATCACGCAGCATGCTTAAACTTAAATCGATCTCTGTAAATAAGAGCATAATGTTTACTAACCTAATTAATTGTACAATAATATATTATTGTAAAATATTAAGTCCCGCTTTTCTCCCTCCTTTTTATTCCCAGAAAAGCGTATAGGGCTGTGGTGAGTTAAACTTAAAATGACTTTCAATAAATATTATTTGTAATCTTATCTTTTTTCTTTAGTAGCCTTTTCTTCACTTCTTATCTTCTATTTCCTGGTAGTCGCCTAATAAACGCCAAATTTCAAGCATAAATTATAAAATGTGTACAGCAGACTAGCTATCACTCTAAAGATCAATAAAAATTGTTGATCTCTCATTAATAATTCTAAAACTGCCTGCATATTATAAAGTTACGTTGTTGGGTTCATGCTTTCTTTCATTTCTGAAAGTGCGATTATATCAAGGAGGGTCTACCCCGCTGTCCCAATATGTTTTGGCTGACTTCATGTCCTCAATTTTATAAATTACTACATCTTTAAGTTTCCTCACGATGTATCAAAGAAATGTATTTAAACATTTCAGTAGGACCGGCAGGAATCAAATGATCGTTTACTTTTAAACCTTTTAGGACAATTTGTTATATATTTTTAGTGCACGTGAGAACATGGTTCCACTTTGGCTTGACTCGGCCAGGGAGGGAGGAGGGACCACGCTATCTTAGAATAATAGCGTAAAATAGCGGCTTAGTACCGCTGCATATTGGAAACAAGGCGTTCCATCTTAGTCATAAGTGTGACAAGGCATTATGATATTTAATAAAGGATAAATGTAGATGTCTATGGGCCGCAGTATCCCCATGCAATCGGGTGGACTGTGTGCCCGTTTGTCACCTTTATTCTGTAAAAAAAGTACTTCTTTTACGACATATTAAATGAGAACAAGTTCCTGGCGAGATACAACTGTTTATTTTTATTCTTTTGAACTACCGTATTAATTTAAAAGCATTTGATAATCTAAAAAGACCACATTACCATCATTAATTAATGTTTGAAGTTGGTTACTATCTGCATCAAATTGAATGATCTCGTAAAACCTTTTCAAGCCACCAGATGGAAGAGAAAATTTTTCATATAATCTCGGTATTGTACTACTTATGTGAATTATTTCTTCGAAAATGGTTCTAAATGTTTCCCTTGTCTCATAACTTGTAGGAAGGAATACAATTTTGGTTTCTGAGAGGTAAAGGTTCATCTTTATTAACGGCGCAGGTGCCATAGTCCCTATAAGATAAACACATGCATTTATTAAGTAAAATTTATGTAAAAATATTTTTGCAGTTAGAAATTAATTTTAGATGAAATGTAAGATAAATTCTGAAATGTTAAAATCTCTTTTATAAATATAAATAAGACTCGACATGTGAGATCCGTCGTTCGTTAATATAAAAATAGGCGCCAATATTAATTCAAGGAATTCCAATTGTTTGGGACTTTAAAAAAATGTGGGTTGAAGAACTAGTTCTATTGCATAGCTTATATTTATATTATACTAGCGACCCGCTCCAGCTTCGTACGGGTGATTTCTGGATGTCGACAACAGCTCCACCTATCAGGTCCAATTATGAATCTAAGCCATCCAGGGACCCATTCAAAAACAAACAAAAGATCATCAGAATCGGTAGAGCTAGTTAGGAGTTTAAGCGTGACTAACGGACACCAATCGATTTTTACTCGTATATATAGAAATATCGGGAGCCTATTCCTTCTTTTTTTGGTTCTCAATAGCCCATGGTTCGTATTAAGTTGTACGTCAAGTTATAAAACTTATCAAAACGTTATGTTCATGTAAAACGTTCGGTTGTGTTCAAGTAAGTCGTCTTACTTACTATTAACTCTCATGATACGGGCTGTGGTCAACTAGGAGGAATTTCAGTGTTGAGATGCACTTCTCTCCCTATTCTCAATTTTAAGGAAGAATGTTTGATTTATAATTCACAACAGAACAACATGGGTCTGCACTCGTAGACTAATATATAGTGATCTGTGGTCTGCGTGAATCCCACATAACGTGTGCTTACCTTCGCGAGCCAGGTATACACAGGTGTTTTTTTTTTAAATATGTAAGAAATAATCTTCAAAAGTTCAAAAATAAGTACAGTTTCACGCTATTACTAATATAATCGATAAGGCTTAATACGGGTCTCTGTCTGATCAGATCTGTCTGCCAGTAAGAGCCAACTGTCAAAGCTGAAGACTGAGTGTAGCAGCATCGTTTCCGGGACACCTGAGATTCTGAGTGAGATTGAGAGGTTCTATGGGCAGCTGTACACATCATCGTTGGAGCCACACGCAAGTGTGAGTAACGATCCAAGAGCAAGTCTTATCCGACACTATTCCTATGATATCCCGGACGTCAGTCTGAGCGAGATTAGAATGGCTCTACACCACCTTAAAAAGGGCAAGGCCCCGGGCGAGGATGGAATTACAGCGGAGCTTCTGAAAGCGGGTGGAAAACCGGTACTTGAAGTCCTTCAGAGGCTCTTTAATTCCGTCCTCCATGGTGGCACTACTCCGGAGGTGCGGAGCAGAAGTGCGGTGGTCTTGCTCTTCAAAAAAGGTGACAACGCCCTCTTGAAGAACTACAGACCGATATCCCTTCTGAGCCGCGTCTACGTGCTGTTTTCGAAAGTAATTACGAATCGTCTCGCACGCAGACTCGACGACTTCCAGCCTCCCGAACAAGCCGGTTTCCGAAAAGGCTTTAGTACCATAGACCACATACATACCCTTCGGCAAATTATACAGAAGTCCGAAGAGTACAATCTGCCACTTTGCCTGGCGTATGTGGACTATGAGAAAGCCTTTGATATCGTCGAAATTTGGGCGGTGCTACAGTCTCTTCAGCGGTGCCAAGTTGACTGTTGGTATATCGAAGTACTGAAGTATTTGTACAGTAGGGCTACGATGGCTATCCGAGTACAGAACCAGAGTACGAAACCTATCCAACTGCAGAGAGGGTAAGACAGGGTGACGTTATTAATGGCGAGTATATCACTCACCTTGGATTTGCCGACGATATAGTCCTTATGGCAGAATCGCTGGAGGACTTAAGCACTATGCTTAATGACCTCAATAGTGCCTCCCAACGGATAGGTCTTAAGATGAACATGGACAAAACACAGATCATATTTACACACCTATGCTGGTAGTCGTTGGGAGCACTAAGCTCGAAGTTGTTGACGAGTACGTTTACCTGAGACAAATAGTCCGACTAGGTAAGTCTAACTTCGACCGAAAAGTCAATCGACGGATTCAACTCGGCTGGGCAGCATTCGGGAAATTACGACACATCTTCTCGTCAGGTATACCTCAAAACCTGAAAACTAAGTTGTACAACCAGTGCGTGTTGCCAGTGATGACATATGGAACTAAGACGTGGTCCTTCACTGCTGGCCGTATGAGGACGCTCAAAGTCGCTCAGCGAGCTATGGAGAGGGCTATGCTCGTAGTTTCTCTGCGTGATAAACTTAGAAATAAAGATATCTGAAGTAGAACCAGAGTAACCGACATAGCCCAACGGATTAGTAAGCTGAAGTGGCAATGGGCCGGCCATATAGCTCGAAGAACCGACAACCGTTGGGGAAAAAAGGTTTTCGAGTGGCAACCTCGTACCGGTAGGTGAAGTTTAGGGCGACCTCCCCCCCCCCACTAGATGGAGTGACGACCTGGTAAGACATGCAGGAAGTCGATGGATGCAGGTGGCTAAGGACCGTGCTTTGTGGCGTACCTTGGGGAAGGCCTATGTTCAGCAGTGGACTTGTGAAGGGTTGTAATGATGATGATGATGATGATATGGGTAGACCTGGTTTATTAGGCAGAGCTATAAATGTAGCGTGGAATATATTATATGTAAACATTTGTTATATACGATTACATACCATCCCCATGTACGCATTTATACACATTTTGCATTGTAGCTTTAATAGATAAGCGTAAAGCATCTTCTAAAAGACGATCAAATCTTCTTACATACTTAATCCATTGCTCGGCCATCTGTTTATGTTAAACATTTATTAGCAATAAAACATTTACAATGGTAAATAAAATATTGCACATTTAAAATACTTTTATTTACTTGTGTTATGTATGGTTCAAATCCTTCGTATACAATAACAAGGTAAGTTATAATGTCTTTGTACATTCCCAAAATCTTCGCTGCCGCTTCTGTTTCCATGTTGCGAATGTGTTCTCGAAGTAATTTAATGTCGAAAACATTATATATATCAAAATCTATAAATGGAGTATCACATATTTTTTCCATAATCTTTACCAAATTTAAATTGCAATTTTTGTAGGTAGTTAAGAAGTCTTGCAACTGGAAAAAAGTAATTTGTCATCATAACTGTAAGAAATTTATTTATGCTCGTATTTTAACCACTAACCTCCCCAATTTGTGCAAAACAGTCTGCAATATATTCATCAGACCTTGTGGAAGTCCAAGTCAATTTAGTGATTCCTGGTTGCACCTTTTTCTCACAAACCTGGAAAATGAAAGACATGTGAATGTAAACCGGGTTTTTTTTAGATTAGAGAGTATAGTAGATATAGAGAGTATTAGTTTAGATTGTATTAATTCTTGATTAGATTAAAAAAATAAGATAAAATTCGTCAACAGGCAATTAGTTCAATCCAATATTACCTAATTCACCGCAGTGTGACCGCAACAAGCGTTTAGAATAAAACTATTATAATTTCTTCTTCATAGGCCCGTACATCTCCAGACATGGGTATCTCCCGTTTTAGGGAGAATATGCCTTAATCGTCACACTTGGCATGTGGATTAAGACTAGACTTAAAATTATATACTAAAAGAAAATAAGCAACTAACTCCGATGGCTGTATTATAAAAAAGTGTTGTATTAAGAAATGGTAATATTATTATTCCCTTTACTTTCATTGGTCTATAGTACAGTTTGCCATAATTTTATAAACCTTACAACATTACTAGCTTCTTAAGCGTGCTGGGAATTAAAGATATGAAATATGTTGATTAGTAGTGTGTAAATTGTCAACCGTGAATTTTATTTATTTATTTATTTTAGTTTATTACATAACACATATTAATCTTACATTTAACAACAAAGTATCCACAGCTAACTAACGCATCGACAACAAGCGAACATCATGACATACTAATGTGTGCAAAAACAAAAGTGAAGTAATGTGTGATATTAAAGTGAAATAATAATTTAGCTAAATTAATTTAACTATTATCCATTATAGTTTCAATTTCGTTTTTAAACTGTCCATTATGACAGAGAAAATACATCAACATGTGAAAAGTTGTCACTATAAGAATGTGCGTGCATGTAGCACGAGTTATAAAATTGTTCTTGCCATATTTTGTGCGCATAGTAGAAGTACAAAATAAAAGTTTCTTTCTAGCACTTATCCTTTGGCATCTAAAATTTATTTCACTTAGAAATAGTATGGAGTCGAGCTATGATTGATTTTATATAAAAACATCTGATCCCTGACAGTACGACAAGATTTTAAGTCAAAGGCTAGTCTACACCAAATAGAGGCATCGCCTGCTGATCTAAATTGGATATGCTTCAGAAAATTAATTTGAATCTTTTCAATTGACTATATAAATATTATATTGAGGATTCCAAACAGTTGAGTAATATTCTAATATTGAGCGGACCAATGAGTTATACAAAATAATTAGGGTTGAGGGTTTTTTAAAGTCTTTAGTAACTCTCACTCTTTTTATAACCATGAAGTAGTCAAAACTGGCAACAGTATATGTGAAGCGTTCTCAGAATACTTTAGTTCTAACTTCTTGGATTAGTATCATCCAGTACACAGCCTACCTCTGATCCTGCCCATATTGACTATCCACCTTCTATTGCGGATATCTCCAAAATCTACGTCAGTGAACAAAATGTCCTCAATCTCTTGCTCAAACTTGACCAATGTAAATCTGCTGGCCCAGATCACCTGCCGGCCGTGTTTTTAATAAATTGCGCAAGGTCACTGGTAACGCTTGTAACTCTCCTATTTAATAAGTCTCTAGCAGAAGGTACTGTTCCTGCTATCTGGAAATTGGCCTTCATCACTCCAATACACAAAAAGGGCTCTAGAGATCAGGTTAATAACTACAGGCCTATTTCCAAGTTATGCGTACTAAGTAAAGTCCTCGAAAAAATAGTGCATTCCCAATTATATATAGCTATTACACAATCACTTCGCGACTTCCAGCATGGTTTCCTCCCCGGTAGATCTACTGTCACGAACCTTGCTCTACTTAATGACTTTCTTACTGATTCTATGGACAAAGCCCATCAAATTGATGTCATTTATACTGATTACAGTAAGGCCTTCGAACGGATTAACTATAGTCGCCTCCTATACACACTTGAATGTGTTGGCGTAAGCGGTGATTTACTTCTCTGGTTTTCCTCGTATATTGAGAACAGAACACAAGCTGTAGTGGTAAATAATTACATTTCTAGCTGGATTAAGATCCCTAGTGGTGTTCCCCAGGGTCTCGCTACTGGCACCTTTACTCTTCTATTTTTGTCAATGATATCAACAACTGTCTGTGTAACTCTCGTCTATTATGTTTCGCAGATGACATGAAAATTTTTTCAAACATTTCTTCATTAAAAGACGCAGAAGCATTACAAAATGACTTGAAAAACTTACTTGATTATTGTACCTATAACCATCTCGATCTCAACCCTACAAAATGCTCAGTTGTCACATTTAGCCGTAAATCTAATATACTGCTGTACGATTACTAGATTCAAGGCCAATCGTTGTCCAGAGAGTGCTCCATACGCGACTTGGGAGTTATACATGACTCGAAACTTCTGTTCGATAATCATATCGAAAATATCATTGGCCGGTCTTCCAGAGCCTTAGGGTTTGTGACGCGTTGCTCTAAAAACTTTAAACAAATTAAAACCTTGAAAATTTTGTATTGTTGTTACTTAAGAAGTATTTTGGAATATGCATCACAGATATGGAACCCCCAATATAAAACCTTTAGTTTACCACCAGCGATTTTTCCGGACCGATACCACCTGGGACCTTCAAGAAAAGAGCGTACTCCTTTCTAAAGGGCCGGCAACGCACCTGCAATTCCCCTGGTGTTGCGGTTGATCATGGGAGGGCGGTAGTCACTTAAAATCAGGTGAGCCGCATGCTCGTTTGCCCCCTCTTCTATAAAAAAAAATATATCTCGAATTGAACGTATCCAGATGAAATTCATCAAACACCTTTGCTACCGAGTAAATGACCACTACAACTCTAACCTCTACTATGATAAGTGTAGAAAGTTCCATCTCTTACCACTCGAGATGCGAAGGCAAATAGCAGATATTACCTTTCTACTTAAGATAGCTTCAAGCGAGATCGACTGTCCAGATCTACTTGAGAAGTTAAATATCAAAACTCCAAAAAATGTTAGACGAAAGGTCCCACTATCATTACCCACAGCAAAAACTAATTATAGGCAGAATAGTTATATGTACCGTGCGAGCAAGAATTTTAATACTGTATTGTATTGTATCCCAATTGTTTAACTTAGACCTATTCAACACAAGTACCATTTCGGCGAGGCGAGTTCTGAGTAAGCCTTTTTTCGACTCCAGCTGACGATCTTTTTATTTCCTTTTTACTTATTTTTTAAATTTTTTGCTTTTGTTAATCTGTAATGTTTAGTTATTTAATGCACGATGTTACCTAGCTAAGCTTACGGTTGGTGCGACAATGTCCTATTAGCAGTCGGTAACTCATCGCATGCATAAATGGTTTCCTATCGCTTGTTTCCTACCTACTCTGTTTATTTTTAACTGAGGGATTTCCAATTAAACAAATAAATGAAAAATAAATTCGTAAGACAAATCCAAGCATCATATAGGTATGACTTGTTAACTATTTTATCAATATGAGATAGAATATTAATTTTTGATCAAAATACACGCCCAGGTCCGGCAACTCGGTTACCCGACATATCGACACATCATTTATTTTATAATCGAATTCTATAGGTCTGTTTTGTGCTGAATGTTAACATTACATTTTTTAATATTTAAGAACAATAGTTTATTTGAACAATATGAGTATAATCTATTAATATCTTCCTGTAGTAGCTCACAGTCATGTTCATTTTTAATAATTTAAAAAAATATCAACAGCAAATAGAAGTATGTTCGAATGTTGGAATTGCAAAAGAACATCATTTATATAAATATTGAACAAAAGAAGACCGAGATGCGAGCCCTGTGGGACACCCAAAGATATTGGTAAAAACGAAGAACAGAACCCCTTAACTGCTACTGTTTGAGTACGATTGCGCCTGTAAGATGCTAGCCAGCGCAGGAGGTCACCGTGCACATTTGGTCTAGTTTTTTGATAAGGATGTCGTGAGATATTTTATCAAAAGCTTTTGATGAATAACGTAAATTTGTTCGCGTTGTTCACTATTTAATAGCTTATAAATTGTACTAAAGACAATATTAAACACCAGCAGATATATTATAAGATAATAAAATAAAATAATAAAAACCTAAAATAATAATTAGAAGAATTGGAGGTCAATTCCATAATATGTTAATAAGAATCAGTGAAACGACGAAATGAGTACTGAGACAAACCAAATCATTCTATCTGTTAAGGTACCTTAAGAACTTAAGATATTACCGTCTTTGACTATCTCGTGGCTTAAGCAGTCGTCAAATCTGCCAAAAATTATGCACACAAACAAAAAGTTTTTGAACAATTATGACAAAGAACAATTTGAAAAACATTAGCTTCCACTTCACTTATAGTTCAAACCTCACATATTATATTCTTTTTTTGATGGTAAAAAGTCAGGCTTAAATTGGAGAATGGACCTACACTATTTCATGGCCCCTTGGCTGAAAATCTCTTGATAAAATATGCCATGGTTTATTTTTAGATATTGCACAAATAATTCAAGAAATGTTAACAAATCCCAAAGAATAACTTTCCATTGGTGAGTAAGATACTTAAATATTTTAAAAAATTTAAGTATCTTACTCACCATTAATAATCACAGAAATTATTTCTAAGATGCCAACTCGTGTCATGGACGATTATGAAAATAATTTTTTCAAATGCAACTTTTCTATGGGTAAATGTAACACGCTTATATTATGCACAGTTTTTTTTTGTAGAAACAAATAGAAGTATTCCTAATTGGTTAAATGTCTGATGTTTAAATTTGCTGATTATATTTTTTTAATTTAATTTGTAGATTTCCACGCGAAAACAGTGAAAAGTGAAATA